CAAAAAAACCACCTGCTGAGGAATCAAACTCATTTTCTTCTTCTAGACCATATTATATGAACAGATGTTAACAGTATTATAATTTTATAATTATTTGGGGTAGGAGAGTGTTGGTTAGCTTCAGGTGTTTTACAGACAATATTTTTTGCAGCATATTTAAACACTTAATTAGCAAGTCCCTGTTGTATATATTATCAGTGCCACTTTGTAACTGGTTTGCAGTGCCTGCCTAATTTGTTCTGCTCCCATTACTAAAGAATATAGATATGGTTTTCATTAGTACATTGTTGAAGCAAATGGTTTTTGAATTTTTAGAGAAAAAACTGTATATAAGTTCAGTCTTCAATATGGAATTCTATCAGAGGCATACAATATTTGTGGTAAATCAACAGAGAAGAGGTGGATTTTCTCAAAGTATCCTAGCAAATAATAGGCTGACACTAATTTGTAGGGGGGAAAGAGCTTTTTTTTTTCAGTATAGCAAATCTAACTTACCTTTGAGCATTCTCCAAAAAATGCCTAGAAGCTCATCTGTTTTAGAATCAGTATACTGAGTGGTGATATTATGAGCAGGCAGGGCAGGGGGTGGGAGATTGGATGAGTATAAAGGTTTATAACCATCTTATTCCAAACTCACAGGGGCTTTCAGAATATTGTAGACTTAAAGGATGTGGGAAGCATGCTTTGAATGTTTCCTGAATAGTGGCCAAGTCAGGCTTAGGTGGCAGTATCACTACAGACAGTACTTTGGGATATACTTCTATTTATTCACAGAATGATTTTTAGAAGGGCTTTTTCACTTTTTTCTTTACCGCAAATAGATTCCAAAATATATGAAAAAATGAAAAAGTAATATTTAAAATGGTGAGTGTGGTTAGCTTTACCAGTTAATAATATGTACATGTATGTAAAATAATGGCAGATATTTATATACATTTCTGTAATATATGTATATTTGGTTGATAATGGTGGGAGCTGGACTACTGTAAAATTACGCACTTTAATTTCTGTTGAAAACTTTAAAAATTTGTAATCCTGTAAAATAAAAGCAACAATCAATCAGTAATTATTCTGCGATTTTCATATTGATGAGTGTGTTCATGGTATTTTTTACTGGCCACATTAATGGTGGAAAAGAATCATGTGTAAACTGCAGGCAATGCTACAATTTATTGTTTTTGACAATAAAACAATATTCTCTAATTAGGGAATTAGGGAATAGTCTGGCAGAGGAAAAGGCCTGGGTAAAAGACACAAAAATGTGTTTTGTTTTTAAAAAATATACTCTGCATGAAAGCAGCATCGGCGTGGTCTAATGGTTATGGTATTGGACTAAGACTGGGAAGGCCCAGGAATAAGACTACTCTCAGGAAAACCCACCTCACCGAGTGGCTGTTGGGAGGACAAAAACTGAAATTTTCATGTCATGCAATTTCATTTGAGATGCAAGAAGCTATGACAATTATAGAATTACAAGTCTGATCACTGTCCAGCTTTTTTGCGAGGGGTGTGTGTCTTCAAACTTTATTAAAAAAAAAATTCAGTGATCCTCCAGACAGGATTGAAGTTTTGCAATACCTACTTTAGAAACCAAGCACTGAGTAGCAGAACATGCAGTTAGGTGTGAGAGATGGGGAAATATGTGTTACACGCCTTCCTCCCTTACATACACTTTAATATTCCCAAAATATAACATTATTTTCACAGGAAATCTGTCACGTATTACAAGATGACTGGCCTCTATTTGAAATCCAAGTAGACAGTTTACATTTACATGAAGCTGCTCTGTGTGGACCTTCTCTTCCTCCTCATTCTCTGAACATCCTTTACTCTTAAACTGATCTTCAAAATCAGGACCTCAGCCAACTTCTGGTTCATCTCTTCCTCCTTCCAGTAAGCTCATAGTACTGTAGTCTGTTTATGGCTCTGAGGGCATTTCCACACATAGAGTACTCAAAAGCAGCTCTGGCTTTGACCCCCCCCCCCCTTCCTTAGCTGAGCTGATTTTTGGACCAGTTTCAGTACAACACAACCAGATGGATTTTCTTCTCATCTCTTGACAACAGTTAGGTTCTGACAAGGTTGAGGGCAACTAATTTCCCTATTGTGGCAATACTTCCCATCCTTCCTCCAGGCTGCAGAGTTTCAGCCAATCTTTAAGGGAAATACTTAGTAGGAGAGAAATTAACGAGTTTTATCTGTTTCATCCTGGAGGAGAAAGCAGGCATGCAAAGCACTAGCTACCTGGACTTTTAAATTTCTTGGGTAAGGGATGAAGGTTGGATTACTCCAATTATGATGTGGAAATGCTCCAGAATGAGTTACAATACTTGCAACCTAAAAAGCATGAATTTTGTTTGGAACTTACCATACCCTCTTCCTTGTTTCAGTCACTGCTGCAAACTACAACCATGTTCAAGGCATTCAGAAAATCCCTAGTTGCAAAGAGGATGCCATGTCACGTTCACAAGTCAATTCAGATTTTTAATATGAGAAGAATGATTATGCAGCCGGGTACCTTCATCCATTGCAAACACTTGTTTTGGGGCAAGTCAGCACACACATGCATTTAAAGTGGAAAGAGGCCCCCAGCATTCAGGTTGGCATCAGTGAAGAGGATCAGCAGGTCCACTTCAAAGTAATTTGAATCAACGAGACAGCGTAAATTCAATGGGTTTGCTCATTTTCACTAGATAAGGAAGATGTACAAGACTACTTTTGTTAATCAAAAGGGGCACATTTAATGGTCATATTTTCCACTCATTCTCCAAGTCTTACATATCCACCCAGAAATTAGTATTACAATATTCAGTATAATCAAAAGCCTTGATCTCAAAAGTGACTTTGCTCCATTTGCTGGGTGTCTGGCGGCCATCTGGGGTTTCCACCACAAAATTTTTAATGGCCAACACTGGAAGTGTGAAATCCCGGTAGATCATTTCCATTCCCCAAGCCTGTATGAATATAAATACCAGTTAGCTTCTTACCAGGCTCATTAAGAATTCACAAGCACAGAGTTCTACCACTGGGGAAAACGCCAGTGACCTACAGAAAAATTCATCTGCCAGTGTTTGTGCTGCCCTGGCTTTGTCAAAGAACAGAATAGAAATGATACATAATGCAAAAGCCCATCTGAACTTGCAGGGATGCCTCCTCTTGTATTCTGCTCCTTCCTTCCACAGCCTACTGATTAACTGCTATAGATTCCCCACAAGGATAAACAGCATTCAACAGGACACGTTCTCTGCCCCTACCCCAGATTATTTTATAGCCTGAGGAGTACATGTTATGCTAAACCATGGTTTATTGGATAAACTACAATTGTTGGATTCACCCAAGATGCTAAATTAAACCAAAATCACATTATGGCTTAACACAATCTGAGTAAAGCCACCAAATACTGTATTTTTCCGACTATAAGACGATACT